AATGCGGCGTGTAGTTTTCGTCAGTTTAAAACTGCACAGCTCCATTTCAAATTAGTCGAATTAGGCTTTCATCTTATAATCTTGATTATGAGACAGGACGACATAATAAGATACTTAGGGAGAGTGGAATGTATAGAATGTGTTAAAGTGAACATGCGTGGATCTAGAAATATTTCAAAGGGGGGAGGGGGGGGGGTGACGACCTGCATTTTGAAAAGCTTCTTTAAAAATATGTCAAGAAGTATTACTGACAGGAGTGGTGGTGTTTTTTGGGTTTTTTTTTTCATACATAGGATGACTGCATTTAACGCCTGTTTTTGGGTCTTTTTCGGTTGCTTCTGTTGCTTTTATATCTAAACCTTATTTCACTTTTGTTTGTTTATGAAAGAATCCTGTCAATTTGGAACCAAATTTAAATCTTAAAATGATTTTAGACTGTGATACAATAAAATGATTCAATGTTTTTTTATCCTTAGTGCTTTCCAAATATAGTGAATTTACACTCACCTGCCCTTGATTGAACATTAGATATGCATGAGAGGTGGAGCTAACATTGTAAATATGGGTCTTAAATTAGACTTGATAAATAACAATGACATGTTTGAAAAAAGAACGTGATCACTCTTCCAATCTCCCTCTCCATTCTGTATGGCACAAATACACTTCTGACAAAAGTTTCAAAACGAAACTAACAATATGAGCACGTCAATGTAATTAAAGCAGATTGTATATCAATGCCAGATGACTTAACGTGTTCGAACACAATGTACTAGTTAGCACAAAACATGCTACCTTACAAGTCACGTGACGGAATTTAGTATTCACAAAGTTACCCGAGGTAGGACATCACGTGGTGAATTATAATATTCAACATGTCACAATCCTTGGTTACAACACAGAGAGCGAATGTAAGAAGAAGCAGTTATTTCTCTTTTTAATCATGAGCGCATGTCCTTTTGACACATTGTTGGTATCCTAGAGAAAGTCTTGTCACAAGAAATACACCTTCAGCGGGTAATCGTGTTTTTTAACAAATGTTTCTCGACGAATCAGTTTCAACTAATTTACATACATGAAAGTATATCAGAAATTATCTTCGTAATGAAGTGAGAAAAAAAAACCATCCTAGTAACAAAAGATGTTTGAAAATACACAGCAATTGTAACCCGGAACGTTAATTATGGCCATAATTTTAGTTCCGGGCTACTTTATCTTTGTAATAAAGTGGAAAAGAAACAACCTAGTGACAAAAATATTTGCAAATACTCTCATCAATTGTAACCCGGAACGTTAATTATGACCATAATTTTGGTTCCGGGCTACTTTATCTTCGTTATCAAGTGGAAAAGAAACAACCTAGTGACAAAAATATTTGCAAATACTCTCATCAATTGTAACCCGGAACGTTAATTATGACCATAATTTTAGTTCCGGGCTACTTTATCTTTGTCATAAAGTGGAAAAGAAACAACCTAGTGACATAAATATTTGAAAATACACAGCAATTGTAACCCGGAACGTTAATTATAAACATAATTTCAGTTCCGGGCTACTTTATCTTTGTAATCAAGTGGAAAAGAAACAACCTAGTAAGAAAAATATTTGAAAATACTCTCAGCAATTGTAACCCGGAACGTTAATTATGACCATTATTTTGGTTCCGGGCTACTTTATCTTCGTTATCAAGTGGAAAAGAAACAACCTAGTGACAAAAATATTTGAAAATACTCTCAGCAATTTAACCCGGAACGTTTATTATGACCATAATTATGGTTCCGGGCTACTTTATCTTCTTTATAAAGTGGAACAGAAACAACTTAGTTACAAAAATGTTTGAAAATACTTTATTATTATCTTTTTATAAGGTGGAATACAATGAACAGGAAACAAAAATGTTTGATATTACTATCAGAGATTGTAACCTGGAATGATAATTATTTTTAATTTGCAAATGATAAAAAAAAAAATGAATTAACAATTTTACATTTTTGCAGATGCTATAATTTAAACTCCTCCATTTTTTTTGGGGGGGGGGGCTCAGATAATTAACTAACACTTTTTTTGGAGCTGTTATAACCTCCTCCTTTTTTTAAATTTGGGGGAGGGGGCTGAGATTTAAAAAAAAATGGAGGGGTGTTACATTACTGCAGCTTGCCTTCTGCCTACATGTATATATTTGAATTTTTTCTCCACAAATTTTGATATTCATTAAACATAATGGTATGTATAAAACGATAAAGTTTTAAAGTGTCATAAAAATTGTCATTTTCTTATTGTGTTTTATGTATAAAGAACACCAAGGAATAAAAGTTATTTCCTAAATATCTTAAGGGGTGTGTGGGTAGGACATACATCGAAGTTACAGAAAAGTGCATTTCAAGGCGTTTAAAACATAAAAAAAAAGTCATTTAAAATTTGCTAAAACCTTGATTTTACTAAAATATTTTATCTAATTCAGTTCACCTCACTGCTATTTTCACAATCAACATTGCTGGTCTTTACTTTTCATATTTCAACCTTGTTTTTTTTCTTCTTCCTACGGTCTTTGAAAAACAACAACAACATAATTTTCATTAATTACTTGTGTTTGTTTATTCAAAGGGAATAGACCATATCGTTATGTTTTCATGTTTGTTTCATTGCAGAATAAACCACATATTCATGAAATATCCATTGTTAATTTATCACAAAAACTACATAACTATCTTCATCAGTGAATTATGTTTTTTATGTTTGTTTATTTCTAATGGAATATAAATCATATTTCATGCCAAGTGATAATATGTACGAGGGATGGAAGCCATGTATTCGAGGTTCGACATTGTGGAATTTGCAACACTTGTAATATCATTTAAACAGAGAATGCCTCTCTGTAAATACATATACCATTTTGTATTTAATTCTTATACTTTATCAGATTATAAAATTAAAATTTACTGATCAAATTTATCTTTGACATAAGTGATTGTGCTTCTTTTTAGGCTTTTGTAATTTCAGTCTAGTTTATCTTCTACCCCCTTTACCCTGTAAATACCGGGTCTGTGGGCATTCAAGCGAGAAATTCACACCTGACATGCATATGCACTAAATAAACAAAGGGACTTAATTTGTATGCATTAAATAAACAGCCTTTCATGCGACCACATTTTATTCGATGTATATGTACCAGAAAGCGTATTTCACGATCTTTACTTGGGCTATTTATTCATTTATTTTTAAAAATGGCTGTACAAAAAGGGCATGACGAGTGTTGGTAAAATGGGTAGGCAAACCCGGGCCGGGGCAAATTAAAAACCGGGGCTGTTCGATATTTTTCGATTTTCTGTCTTAATACTTCATCAATCAAGCTGAATTTTTCAGAATATGTTTGATATAGGTTTATTTGTATTCGCTGTAAAAATTGCCTAGAAACACTCAGTAGTTTAGATTTTATCGGCGTTGCTAATTTCCAAGTTGGTAAAATGGGTAGGCAGTATCAAATCAATATTTCACGTGTATTTTGACAAATGTGACAATGAACAAGTAATCTTTTGAATTATTCCGATGTTTAACAATGTGTATTAACTAGAAATAGTTATTTCTTTACTGGGAAATGCATTTTTATGCTTAAATACACATTTTCATAAAAACCGGGACATTGAAACCGGATCCGATCAACACAAACCTGAAAATTCCGAAATAATGATATCGCTGTTCCTTGTTTCAAAGGGGGTTCTGAGGTTGTAAGCCAACACCTTTGTGGTATTGTCTAGCTCTTAACTCGTGGGTAGCAGGCCCGTAGGAAGCAATTTCTGTTTGGGGGGGGGGGGGGCACAGTCATACATTGTGGGGGCACTATCAACTACCAAAAATTTCTTGACAAGCAAAAAAAAAGAAAAAAAAAAAGGTCATCAGACGTTTTCATTGAGGGGGCACAAGCATATTGTATCTATGTTTTCCATAGTTATCTATACATCGGCAAAATAATTCGGGGGGGGGGGTGCACCCCCCCCCCCCGGTTCCTACGGCCATGGGTAGTATTTAAATAAACATAATTTCTTTATAACTTCCTCTCCCCAATGAACATAACAAGCCACTTTTGTTATCCCAAGCAGCTTAAATTATGTTTGATTAACATGATTAAAGTTTAGCACAAGACTTTGTATTAATATCCATATAATTATTAATTAATTAAAAATAGTTTAGATATACAGTTAATCAATTTGAATAATTCATAAGTTTATTAGCTTTTTGTCAAATATGTCCAAAAAATCGTAAAATGTCGGCTTACTGCTGCCTACCCATTTTACCAACTTTGAAATCATCAATCACCGATAAAATCTGAAATACCGAGTATTTCAAGGTAAATTTTACAGCGAATACAAATAAACCTATAACAAACATATTCTGAAAATTTCAGCTTGATTGATAAAGTATTAAGACGGAAAACTGAAAAATCCTGAACAGCCCCGGTTTTTAATTTGCCCCGGCACGGGTTTGCCTACCCATTTTACCAACATTCGGGCATGACGCCTTAAAAAAAAAGAACATTGCGCCAAATGAAAATGGCATGCCGCTGCGCCATGCTTAATCCTCAAGGAAAAAAGTACTTCTATGGTTCAGTGTAGAATGAAAACTGGCAAGTAATAATTGAGAGATACCGCGATTCGAAGATTGCAGCCATGGCCGGAACCAAACTTACAGTAACATCCGGAACCAATATTATGATTTTAAGGTTCCGGCCGGAACGCGAAGTATCCGGAACGTAAATTATGCGACACCGGTAATTTTAATTTGTGTTAAATGGAATTTGAAATAGATGGTCGTTATAGAACTCATGTACCTTAATAACTAAAATTTCACTTAATTTCCCATAATCTCGTTCAAGAAGTGTATCCAGTTATCATAATTCAGAATGAAAAAAGCTGGAGTCTATTAATGCAGTTCCCAAGTATGTTTATCATTAACAGCTACCCTTTTTGGAATTTACGTCGGGTTCGGTATTCAGATATTAGTGTATCATGGAGACGAAAGAAGCTGTGAAGTTGGTTTTTACATTAATTTTATGTTTGTGTGATCTTGTACGCACTGATACAGACGATGACATAGCATATCAAACAGGAGGAGATGATTCGATGAAATTTGGGCAGGCAAAGGCTGTTAGGTTTGTTGTAGGATTTTGCCAACCAAATATTTAAAAGCCACGTCAACATTGTCCCAAACGATATGTGGGATTGATCCTCTTAATCTTATACAACTACCTTTTTATGGAATGTCGATAGGTTGGGATTACACATTATGCCATTCGTATACGCTTTTAACTTAAAGGTGTATAATAATTCTTTTCTCCTTAGCTGACTAGGTTCAACAATATTCTCTTTAATAGAGAAAAGGACAAGCATCTTTCATGTTTTTATTCTGGAAACAATGTTTTTTTTTTTTTAAAACAATGACGGTTTATGCTTCACCTGAAACTTTGACTCAAATATTCCTATGTAATATTCTGTGCTATGTGTACCACATACCACTGATACCGGAATCTAAATTTATTAGAGTATACCATGTACATAGTATAATTTTAATAATTTCTCTCAAACAAAATGTAATTAGCTGTTGTACTTGAAGGTATCTGCTATATGATGTCAATCCTGGGGAGGGTTTTAACCTGCGGCGTGATGTGTACATGAGAGTGACAACACTTGTCCATGAGCTGAACAAGGAGGAGCCTTGGGTGCTTGTCCTGCCACCTTGGGGCAGGCTGTATCATTGGAAGTCTCCAGAGTTTGAGCAGATTAAAATTCCTTGGTCAACATTTTTTGATCTTCCCAGTTTGCGCCAACATGTACCAGTACTTGAATTTGAGGAATATCTGAAGGGTAATGATTCCAAAATAAAACTCCAGTTCAAAAATGATTGTCTTTATATGTATAGTGTAAACTAGGTTGATTAAGATAATGTCGAATGAAAATTTAGAGAAAAAGTTATATACTTTTAAAGTACAACATACATTGTAAATTTGTACATTTGGGTATTGAAAAAACGATAAATTTTATGTGCAATGAATTATAGCGATATGCTGTTATTTTTAAATTGAATATGAGACAATATCATAATGAATAAATGAATGATGACATATATGAAATATTGATAGAAAATTTTTATTTTACCCCTTGTTATCCAACCATGCCAACAGTGAGAGGTGAGCCAGTGATAGATGAAGTATATTACTTACAGAGCTTCAAAGGGGGCTGGACAAAATGGGAGGAAAAGATGAATATCACGGAGTGTAATGATAGAACTGGATTTGTGCAGGCAAGTTTCATTGGAGATACACTGTAACTTAAATCATGTGTATATTTCTATTTACATCTTTAATAGTACTGTTGTGGTAATGCTAACTGTTATCTTAATGTTCCACAATGGTTGTGAAGTCTCTTTTTTTTTTAAATAGAAATTTAGGAAGTTCTATTTGTTACATCATTGCACAAGACATAACTCCTTTTCAGCTCTACCCGTTTAGTTATCTTTCAGGAAAATACAGAAAAGGTGATGCATTGTTAATTGTAAAGAAAATCAAATCACTAAGAAATGTTGTTATTTCTTATCTTTATGACAATGTCCAGGATGAAGATGGTAATTGGCATCACTGGTTCTTTGGATATGAGGAAGTGTATGCTAAGAAATTTGCCTGTCTGTCTTACATGGGACATGCTACATTTATAAAGCCGTTTTTACTGAAGAACACCACTGGAAGGTAATTTTTAGTATTTGTCAGCAACAACTATAATACTCAATACTGTAAATGTGAAAAAAAGAATTTTTGTATCAATTTTTTTTTGGAGGGGGAGGGGGGGGGCAGAGTTATTATAAATAATAAAAGTACGTGTATTATGAGTAAAAGAACATTTTTTTGTGGTTAATTTTGCAGAATTTTTCTGTCAGGTCACAAAATTTTCAGAGATATATAGACAAGCACTCTCATGAACATTTCCACATTTAAAAGTAGATTGAAGAGGAAAATTTTCATTGAAGTATTTGTATTCGATATACTTTCATGTTAATAAAAGTCAAATTTGATTGGTTTAAAACATTTGTTAAAAAGTACTATTACCCTACCGAGTGCATTAACCATGCCCTCCGGGTAACATTATAAAGCAGCGGTTGAAAATGCATAATGATGGGTAACAGTATAAAAATAGTAACATGTAAGGGTAACTGTGCAGAATGTTTGCGCACATGTTTCATCATGATGGTTTCTTTTAAATGCATTCAAAAAGACATTCAGTGTAACAAAAAAATATTACAGGTTTATTTAGGGTAACATGTGAAATTGTTATCTCTTGAAAACCATTGCTGACTTTGACTTATTCACCTCGAAAAGCAATGGTTCTCACGGGATAACAATTTCACATGTTACACTAAAAAACATGCAATATTTTTATTATATAATTCATTTATCACAGAGACTTTCAAACTTGTTATTTATATATCATGTTATAAAATATAGGATATGGAGTTTAAATTTGTGGTTCTTGAATTTTACCTTTTTTCTTATGGGCACCTAATTGAGAGTGGAAATGCACAAATATTATCATTTTTAGCTCACCTCAACAAAGTTGGGGGAGCTTGTGTATTACCCTTGGCGTTAACATCCCAGGTTAAAGTTTTTGGAGCAGATTTTTTTCAAGTACTTCTATGCCCTATATTAATCAGAGATGCATGGAGGATCCTTCTAGTATGTTTCACTGTAACAGCCAAGGTTTCAGATGCTGCAATTTCAGGTAGAGAATGACCAGTGTATTTTTTTTAAGAGCAGGTTAAAGGTCAATTTTGGAGCATGTTAAAGTTTTTGGAGCAGGTCTCATTTCCAAGTAACTATAAGCCCTATGTTGACCAAACTTGTATGGTTGATACATCTAAGGATACACACTACCGTACTTGCTTCGGATGCTGATCTGACCTATATTTTCCAGATGAGTGACCAGGTTAAAGTTTTTTGAGCAGATCTCATTTCCAAGTAACTATAAGCCCTATATTGACCAACCTTGCCGAGATGATACATCTAAGGATTCACACTACTGGACATGTCGGATGCTAAATCTGACCTATATTTTCCAGATGAGTGACCAGGTTAAAGTTTTTGGAGCTGGTCTATAAGGCCTATCTGAACCAAACTTGCATGGATGATGCATCAAGGGATGAACATTCTCAAACTTAAATTGCTTCAGATGCTGGATTTGACTTACATTTTTTGGATGAGTGACTTGTTTAAAGTTGTTAGATAAGTCCATTCCCAAGTAACTGCAAGCCCTATTTCACAAAAATTGTATAAATGTTGCAGTTGGGGATCTACAGTACTAGATTATCAGTTTAGTGTGGGCCTTACTTGAAGACAACATTTGTTGAGGTGATCTCTGTAATCTCTGATTACCTATGTTTTATGTAATGAATATACTTAGAAAATTTCATTTGTTTTTTTTTTCATTAAATATTTTATTAGGTCTGCATATACACCAAATATTGAATCATCAAGTTATTTTCCTCCCTTACAGTAGTCTTGAAGAGACACAGAATCGGGATTTACATGTACGATACAAAATACATAACATTTAATAAAATTTATGATTCAGATTTTATTTTGAGTAACTAAACCAGATTAACAAGCCTTTTTTTGAGGCAGCTCTGCAGATTTTAAGAAATGCCTTTTTACAAATAGTCTTTTCCTATAAAAAAAGGGGTCTAATTTTTCAAAATTTCAATTCTTCAAAACAGATTGAGGGTCTTGCAAAAACTTAATTTTACTTGCTATATGAGCTGTGCATGCATAGTGAATGCATTATATATGGATCAAGAATATTAACCAAGTTATTGCTGTTATTTACAAGAGCAAAGTCATGGTTACTGTGTTTTAATGTATTTATTTAACTTCCAATCATAAAAGTTGGTATTATACAGTGTGTGTATGTGTATGGTGTGTGTTGGGGGTGGGGGGTGGGGTGGGGAAGCTAGATGACAACTGTACTAGAAGAGGAGTGTGTAGTATTAGAGTTCAAGACACCCCACATGTTTTTATGAAATCTTTGATAAGATATTTGCTGTTTGCATGGAAAAGATTATATTAGCTAGTACACTCAAAACACATCAAAGTATCATAGAATTGAGTTCTTGAACATTTAATTGAATTCTCTCTGTCTTCTCCAGCTTAAAACATCTAACTGATGTACCATTTGAAAATTTTAGGTGTATAATGCTCCCTCGGGCAGAAACCCTTTTACACGATCACTTTGGGGACACTGGCTATTGGAGAGTGAGTACTGGCCATTTTTCTGACTTGTACAATAAGACTGTAAGGGTTACTTGATATATGTTCACTCAGGCCATTTTCTGCTACACTTGATGGAGGCTACATATACATTTATATATAGATTTAGGTCTCTTGTCTTCCAAGGTTCTCTTCTGTTTATTTATGCCTGTGTCAATGCTTGTCTATATTAACCATTTTGCTTAATCCCTTTTTGTGTCTATTTACTAGATAAGGACTTTTTATGATCTTAATTACTTTTTAATTCACATAACGGGGGTAAATCCCATCCCAAAAATTAAAATAGATGTATAAAATGAAAAGCGAATTTTTGCAAATGTATTTAATATACAGTCATGTATCTTAAGGAATTTAGTGAACATCACATAAATTGGGTTAAGAAATCAGAATTTAGGCCATAAAAAATTAATTAATAGTTTCTCAGGCCAAAAATTTCAAAATTCAATGCAGCAGGCAGTTTTGTTTTGTTTTTTTTTTTGGAAGCAGGGGTTACACCTTTTATTCATGTCAGTCGTTCAACAAAATGATGATATCAACTGATTCTTACTTTTTTGTTCTCTCATTAATTTTAATATGTATTCAACTTTAAATAAAGTTATTCCAAACAAAGTTAATTCATAAAGTACTGTATTAACAAGAAATGTATTGTTTATCTATTAAAAACGTCTATCTATTAGCATTTATGGAAACGGAAATAGCTCTTTCTTTTACAACTTGGGAAAATAGAAAATTGAGTTATTTCCCTTTTCAATATGTTAGTAAAATTGATCATTGCGGCGTGTTTGACCTGATGCAGCAGTGCCTGAGAAACTATTGATTAATTTTTTTTGGCCTTAACGGAATAATGTAGAACACTCTACATGAACAACATGTGTGGTGTCTTGCAGTTTTAGGTCGTTAAAGAATACCAGATCAGATCATTCATCATATTTTTTTGTAATGATTATGAATTAATTAATGACAAGTTAACTTTACGTCTAACCAAGAGTTTTTTTGTCAGTGCAATTTCCATAGAAAGATCAGAGAAAATGACTCATGGCATGTTTGGAGAGCATAGCTCCCTTTATTGGAGTGTAAGTGGGTGTGTCCTTTCATTATGAATTCACGTGTGTAGAGTGTTTACATGTAATATACACGCAGAACACTTTTTTATAGTAATCAACAGGTATATTTCCTCATGTGTAGTTTACCTTTGAAAGCTCAGTAATAACTAACAGTATACTACACTCCTACAATTTTTCCTGACCTGCTGTTTAATTAATTAAATTAATATTTTTAAAACACTATATCACTTTTTCACTTCCGGGTGTTGGAATTTTTAAAAGTATTCTTAATTTTGAAATACAAGTACCCCGGTAGTCCAGTACAAGTAAAATACAAAATGCATAAAATATTAATGAAACTTTAATTTTAACCTCTGAAGCATAAATTAAAAATTTTGTATTGATCGATTGAAGGATGGACAATAAATTATTTTTCTTCGGGTGTTATCTCATTCAAGAACGGAGAAAAATGTCTTTGATTTAAGTAAGATAATTTTGTATACAAAATATATATAATTTTGCCCCTGTTTTATTTTCGCACCTTTCACCCTCATTGCAAATGGGTGACTTTAAAATGGCAACACAGCGTTGTCTGGGCAAGTGTGAAAGGGTGAAAATAACATGGGACAAAATAACTCTGTATACAGTACGGTTCATGTACATATATATCACACATTTGAAAATGAAATATCTGTGTATTAGTCAGAATTACATGAGTTATTCTTCTAACATAATCAGGCTAGAAGGAGCATGGTTTTTGCGAAACATCTGAGAGATATTGGTGATGAATTTCGATGGGAAAACTTGGATTCCACAGACGAGGGGGATGAAACAGTGTTAGAGGACTGGACTAAAATGAAGGTCAAAAATGTTTACTTTACATTAATCATATGCATAGAACTCTTACTTAATACAATATTTAATGATATTTCACTGTATGCATGTTTGATATATTGAAAATACATGTATGTATTTCCATAGTTGTACTAAAGGCTGCTGAATTAATGCAGAAATATAAACATCTATATGCAATCAAAAATGATTATTCCATGTTTTATTATAGAATTATTGATGAAACAGGTTTAAATTATTTAAAAGAGTTTTTATCTGATATATACCTAATGAATTTCCAGGATCTAACTGAACAGTTAAGTCTTTTCTAATGCAGAGAAAGCATGGTGACGCCTTAGGTGGACCTTATGTGGGGATACACTTAAGAAGGATGGATTACCTGTATGCCAGAGAAGGAAATCTACCCTCCCTAAAGGGGGCTGCCAAACAAGTGAAGAAAATCCTCAAAAAATATAAACTGAAAAAAGTCTTTGTAGCAACAGATGCACCAAGTGAAGGCAAGATTTAATTTGATTTTTGCACTGTGACATAAAGTTAGTTGGCAAAGATTCTTTGAAATTATCAAACCTAGCTAGCTTAGTGCACTGTTATATATGACTCAATTCACAAGTGACCTGTCACCAAAAAATTGCCCTCTGATACAAGAAATTTTCTCTTTAAAATTGCCTGCATTCATGGGACTACCTGTCTGACATGATCAAGAAACATATAATTATTGTCCTTCCATTATATTGTTATCAGACAGCTTTCTTTGCTTTAATTATATAGGCATCATTCTTATTGTTTTATGTTAATAAACATCTAGCTGTGAATGTTGCTAATTTTGTTCTTTAACAACTTCATACCAAAACATCTTTATTGTGTTCATCCTGCTTTCCAACGGCAAAACACACTTTTATCAATTAACATCCCAGAACTTTCATGGACCATGCATATCTGTCTGGTAGGAAAACCTGTAATTATATATATGCACTTTTTGAAATTAAAAAAAAAAAACAATTCCCATCATGCAAGTTTGACTGTAATTCTGGATTTCATTTATGTTTTTTTTAAATTCAGTATGATTAAGTTAGCCTTAATGTAGGATATACAGTTCTTATTAAATAATTTTGATCTCATATTTTCCTTAATGAATATGGTTTAATATATTTTGTATTTTTTTTATTACAGAATTTGAAGAATTTCAAGGCTATTTTAAGAAATCCAAAGTTTACCGATTTATACCTTCAAAAGAAATCAAGGAAAAATATAAAGATGGAGGAATAGCAATAATAGACCAATGGATAGCAGCCCATGCAAGGTATTATTTGTGCTGGAAAACAATTATTATTTATAAATAAGGTTGTTTTTAAATCTTTTTTTTAAAGAAGCTATGCAAAAGTCCAACATGTATCTCTGGAATCAGATGCTATGGTTTATTTTTCAGGTATTTTATTGGAAGCTATGAGTCTACTTTTTCTTTTCGAATACAAGAAGAGCGGGAAATATTAGGATTTGACCCTGAAACGACCTTCAATAGATTCTGTCCTGATGATAATTTGGATTGTGAGGGACCTTCAAAGTGGAAAATTGTATATTAGATACTAGAGTTCCATTATATGTATCCAAATAATCAAAGCTTTAAATTTGTTACATATGTTTTAGACAATTATATTTTTTGTTCGAGAAAAGCAGTATGTCAATTTCACTGAAATGGTATATACAGTCAAACCTTGTTATCTCGAATATGATAGGACCAAAAAAACTTCTGAGGTATCAGAGGATTCGAGATATTGAGGGTAAAATACAAAAAAAAAAGAGGTTGGGACTTCTAAATCACTTTGGCATGTCTGTGGCATTGGAGATATCAGTGTTTGAGATACTGAAGTTCAACTGTAAATGATAATGTCATCTTCATTGAAAGAGTATATAAATAATGTATATTGAAACAAGATCGGAAGACTTTTGTGAATTTGATCTCAGGAATTCCAGCATGTTCTCAGAATTTGTTTTGAAATCTTTCAGTATTATAGAATGGTTTGGAAGTTATTTTGTTGCAAGAATTCTCTCATTTTCAATGTATGAGTATACTGTATCTGATTCGAGATAATTTTATTAAACGTGTCCTAATTCTGAAACCACAAATATTTCTTTTTTTGTTACCCATCCTACCATTGTTCAATACATAATGTAAACCCCCCCCTCCCCTCCCCCCCAAAAAAGACTTTAATATTCCACAAATATCTATGCAAAAATATAATTATGTGATGTTATATTTCATGTTTAATAACTGTTAATTGTGTTTTTGCAACTTGTTCATTATTTTGTACATGTCATAAATTTGTTGAAATTGAAAAGTTTCATGTGAATGTCTTTGTATGCCTACAATCACTATTTCATTCATGTCGTTTCACTGCCAAACTGCTTATAACAGTTCATGTTCTGTAATTCTTTCATCTAATGTCTTAAAAATATTTTTAGAAGAATATTTTCTTGTTAAATACTAGTCACATGCAGTAAATGGGTTTATTAAATATTCTAAGTAAACTAAATAATTGTAACTCTACATGTACCACTTGCTAACCACCATGTCTTCTCAGTTTAACTGTATATTACCTGATAACCAGTTTGTTGTCACTTGTCTTCCGTTCTCTATATTTTATGACACAGGATACAGGGTGCACTGATCATGCTGATTTATTGATTATTATTTTGTCACAACTTTTTTTTCTGAATAAAGTATGGTATTTAATTTGAAAAAAAAAATGTTTACTCAGTATGGATTGAGTGTTGTTATTGATGATTAGTTATAGTATTTTCAAAAGTTTGATATTGAAAGCAGATATGTAGAATACAGCTATTACAAACTCATTTTTGCGGCTAGAGGGCAATCAGATTGCTTACCAATATATACTGGAGTTATCTTCCTTTCTCGGTGGTACGGGGTGATAAAAAAACACACGTAGAAAAACCTTGTTCCCACATCTTCAATAGAATTCGATATCAACTCACTTTTAATAATATCCTTGTTCTAAGACAACTTTCCACACACCCCATTTTTCTTTGGAAGCTGTTTTCGAGATACTTGCAGACATTTTATAGAAGAATTCAAACATTTTCATTGATTTAAGTGTAGCTGCAGAACTTCGGACAGACAAACTGGATAAATGTAATATTTCTTCTGAATTCGGATTTCCTTGCCTCTTGAACGGAATTTTCCAAATATTTTGTGAAAAAAGAGGGACTACCAGTGTAGTTGATGTCGGTCAAGCAAAGGGTTTTCAAGATATTGAGTGGTCAATATCTTCCTATGTCCAGTTTGACTTTATGACCTCATAATCAAATGGTAATCTACTCCTTAAGGGGAACCAATGTACCAAGTTTGATATCTGTCAAGCAAAGGGTTTTAAAGATATTAAATGGGCAATATCTTCGTATGTAAAGAGTACTTTGACCCTTGACCTTTTATTTTGCGACCTCAAAATCTACAGTAGTCTACTCCTGAAACAGATCAGTGTACCAAGTTTGATGTCGGTTCTCAGAATACTACAATGTTATGGACAATGTCTTTCTATGTTCAGTTTGACCCCTGATCTTGCGACCTTAAATCTACAGTGGTTATCTACATCTTGGGGGAGGGAGGACCAGTGTACCAAGTTTGATATCTGCCAAGCTATAACTGTCTAATTTTTTGGTTTCATGATGTGATCAATCGATTGGCTTGCGTGATAATTTGCATAAACGCCGAAGGCGTTTATGCAAATTATCACGCAAGCCAATCGATTGATCATCGTCATGAAACCAAAAAATCTGACAGTTATTCCTTATATTTACATGTTCTTGATTCTGCAAATTCACGTGCTACAAGTCCCGCTTCTGTCTCTATTTGTCCCGCCCCGCACGTGATTTTTTTTCACCACGCCTATCAATGAACCAGCGGACAATACATGGTCTACCGACGTACCGACCGACAGTTGCAAACGATACCCGGTATGTCCCCTTTTTGCAAGGGGGAGGGGGGGTGTTAATAAGATGACCACTTTCAAAGTAGAAGGATAAAGCAAAGTTTGAAATCCTGTTTGGCAAACTACTGATTAAAAATAAGTGAATTTGTGAGTTTTTTTTTTTCAACTAAAAGTGAGCATTCTAGATTGTAAAATTGAAACTGAATGAAATAAGATGTACCAAAGCAGCTGTTTTGTTTTCCCTTTGAGAATCTTTGTTGAACGGTATGACTCAAACTGTCAATCAACAGGCAAGGGAGAGGACTTGCATGGGCGTGCATGCCTGCTGTCCAATCCTCTTTAATATTAATTAAATTAAATGAAATTTAATGTTGCTTGATGTCAAAAATATTCAGCTTGTTGTTTTTCACTTTAAAGATATTATAAGAACTTTCCAGTTGGAAACTTGAAATTGATACTACGAACCTCAGTTGAACTTGATGTGTGATCAGCTGTATATTCTGATTATTATTGAATTATTTTTCATTGACGATGTTGAATAAGCACGAGACACAGGAGAAAGGTATTATATAGATAATGTACATGGACAAATGAAATAGAAATAACTCCTTGACCGTAAAATCGTCATGATTTGGGCCCATTGAAGATTATTTTTATAACTTGTTAATCCGCTGGTAGATTTAAAAAGAGGAAATCTAAGTACGCGTTGCATTAAACCTAACACAATGGTGCCAAGATATTTGTTGACATGTTTTCTAAGCTTTTCTACTCTATTCTGCCCATTCTATTGCGAAATCAGGAAAGAAAAGAAAAGTTGTGCAGGAAAGACCAAATATGACATTAAAGAAAATGCAAGGTAACGTTGTCAACTTATAATATATATTTGCAGTATTTTTTCTGTGTAATCAGGGATATCTTAGATGAGGTTAAGGAACCTCTAAACACTGCACACTAAAGAGTTCTAATTGTAGGGTAGTTTTATGCACTTAGAGTGATCTGCCCTTGAATAATAAATGGGAATCTAATTTTAATGACACAAATTGTAATGGATTTAAGTACACAGTATTCTCAACATTATATAAAACCAAGATAAAGTTATTAACATGTACTTTCCATTGTACATATAAGTAAACAACGGTGATTCCTGTTCACTAATACTTCATGGTTTTTGAACATTTTTCTTGGGGAAATGGCAAGTGCCCTTTGATGAAAATAAACTAGATAAACTCAATATGTACATTTTTGTCTGATACAATTTTCTGAAAGTCCAAAAAATGTTTTATAAGGGTTTTGAGCTTCCTTGAGGTAAATGATAAGCAGTCTTTTATTGTCGTTTTTTATTTTGATTTAGATTTTTGCTCTATGATGTTAACCCGGGAGAGGGATTCAATCTTAGGAGGGACGTATACATGAGGGTGGCCAATCTTGTGTACCTCATGAATCAAGAGGAACCCTGGGTTCTCGTTCTTCCTCCATGGAATAGGATGTGGCATTGGAGATCACGTGATGTGGAACAGGAAAGACTGAAATGGTCCACTTTCTTTGACATAGAAAGCCTAGGAAAACATGTGCCAGTTATTGAATTCGAAGATTATCTTAAAAGTAAGTCATCTGGAGAATTCATATTTATTTAAATCGTCTCATTGCACCATCGTTTTAAAGTAATCTTATTGTTCTTCTTGAACTTTGGGGTTGGATAGGGGGCTACTTATTTAATCTTTTGGTTTCTTTTCCTTAGGAAACCAAGTAATAGATGAAGTGTTCTACCTTCAAGGAGTGAAAGAAATAACGGACTGGGAGACAATAAAAATAGACAAATGTCAGACAGATACAAGGTTTCTACAGGTATTCTTTGTAATATCAAATATCATTAAAGTTGCTAGTTTGTCAAGCGTTCAATACATGGAACTTTTTGCATTCCAGTCTCTTAGAAAATCTGAGATTCCAAACACTAACATGATCTACATGCCTATACCTTTTTGAAGCTTTTTTGAAATTGAACGTCAGAAAACTGTACTAGCTTTGTCTATGTTTCAACTGCTTTCTCCCATATTTTGCCTCATACTACAGGATTCAGATGGTAAATGGCGACATCTGTACCTTGGCTTCGAGGATTTGTATGCAGAAATGTTCAACTGCCTGTCCTTCTTTGGTCAGTTGGACCTAATGAAGTCATTTCTTATTGGAAATACAACAGGAAAGTAGGTATATGTTTAGTGTTGTTCAACTTCCACATAAGCATAGAACTAGATTATGTTGAATTTACTCAAACCCATCATGCTATTGGTACGATATAGGTTTATCTTCTTACCACGGGCTGAAAATTTATTGCATGCGGATTATGGTGAACATAACCCTCTTTTCTGGAAGGTATGATAACTAATTATAAGCATTATTTATTTTAAAAAAATCATACATAGCAAAACATTACAACATTTACCGAATTTATCTGTTAAAGAATAAATTTATTGTTCAATAAATTCAATGTTAAAGAGTCGATTTATTTTAAGTTGTACAAATTACTTCCAATCTGCATTTTATTTTTTTCAATTCTCATCAAATGGAAAGGCTAGAAGAAGCATGATGTATGCAAAACCTTTACGTGATGTTGGCGATCTGTTTCGTAAAAAACACCTTGATTCTGAAGATGAAGCTGATAAAACAATTCTAAAAGATTGGACTACAGTCACGGTATAAACTGTTCAGTAATGATTTACCAATACAAGTAGATAATACCTGCGACATGAATGTCATTTTGTGAAAACTAAATTGTGCACAATAACTGTTTAAAAAAAAACAAGATCTTAAAACCACCAACTAAGACATAAATTGATGTCAAAAGTGGAAAACATCTAGATATTGGTTCTTTGTAAGAATATATATATATATATATATATATATATATATATATATATATATATATATATATATATATATATATATATATATATATATATATATATATATATATATATATATATATTAAGTTAATTGACAAAATATTTTTAAGACAACTAGTTCAATTATTAGGATTCAATATAATTATGTTATCAGTAAATATATTTGGAAATAAATTTGGTATATCGACATTCTTTTGCAGAGAGATTCAAGGAAGGCAACGGGAGGCCCCTTTATTGCTGTACATTTGAGGAGGGGAGATCATTTACACGTCCGGGGGAGGGAACTACCATCAATGAAGCAAGCTGCTAAACATGTGAAAAAACTTCTCAAGAAGATGACCTTGAAGAAAGTGTTTGTGGCAACCGACGGAACCAATACAGGTCGAGAAGATCTTATTTTGATCAGATTTTTTTCACATAGTCTTTGATTTCAAGTTGGAACAATATTCATAAAAATCTAAATATTTCACAGATGAACAAGCTGAAAGCAATCTTAAGCATGATCTACACCATTCAAACGCGCGTAAAACTTGAAAATTGAAGTACCTCCCAACAACTTAACTGTCTAATCGCCAGGTTGTATAAAACGGATATTTTAGCACAATGACGTCAAAAAAAGTTAATTATTCTATCAACTGTTAATTTGTAGAATATGAAGAGTTTAAAAGTCATCTAAAAGATTTTCAAGTGTATCGATTTGAACCAACAGCAGAGGAACTTCAGACCTACAAAGATGGCGGCGTGGCCATTATTGATCAGTGGATTGCTTGTCATGCTAGGTAATCTTCCCTGTCTAAGTGAATATTTCATATTAGGACAACGCACTTCATAATAATGTTACCATTTGTTAAAGAACTGCAGAAGCGTTACAAGAAAGAAGTTAACTGTGATTAGATCAACCCTCAATTTTCAGGTATTTCATAGGTAGCTCTGCATCTACAGTTTCTTTCCGCATTCGAGAGGACAGAGAAATTTTGGGGTTTGAACCGTCAACCTCGTTTAACAGATTTTGTGGTGACGATGAATCAGACTGTGAACAACCAGCACACTGGACTATTGTTTATTAAAGGGTAAAAGTTATCTCATGAGATGCTTTGAAAATTATTGCCAAGTATACCAATTTTGATGTTATACAAAATTAGATATTTTCAAAATCCTGCAAGCGTTTAAAGGAAAATGGTGTCATGTAAAACAAAATGTTAAATAATATCTACATAAAAAAAAATAAATAAATAAAAAATAAACAAATAATTAAGAAAAATAAAACAGCAACAAAATGGGAAAAAACAAAATTCCCTATGTTCTGAAGTGGTAGCCTTTTGCTTTGGGGAAATATTTTCCAAATCGTAGAATGCCAGCTGGGGACCTCATGCTCTAGAACTGATATATGATAAACTCCACGTTATTGATGTATCAAATTATTAAATCTGTGTTCCTCTTAGATATTTACGGGAAATTTCCACGCTTTCTTCCAAATATCATGTTGTTAATTTTGAATTTCACTATACGTTGAGTTAAATACAAAATTCGCGTATAAAGGAAGAGTAGTAATTTATCCCAGAGAGAGTTATCACTCGTATCAGATGGTCAATGGACCTTAAATTGCCTTAGAGAAACTTGGAAATTTGAAACAAACGATTCCGAGTCATCAGTAAATTGAGTTATTGCTATTTATACTTCCAAATTCTACAGACACCAGACGTCACTATAATCCCCACATCCTGCAAAGGAGACGGCCGGATTGATTTTTTTGTGATGGTAGCATCTTTCTTTATTCGTTCTGTATAAGAGTTACATTTGTAGACCTTGACTGCATAACATAGCTGTAATCACTCAGCTCTTAGAAAAAATAAGAGATTGATATTGAACAAATGTATTTCTCTTAAGCCGACAATTTCTATGCAATAGAGACTGAAGAATAACTACCGATTCATATTTTGAATGATTTTTTCATTGTTTATATAAATTGTTTTTGTAATTTTAGACAGGCTATAATTTGCTAGGAAAATGTAAATTCATTGATCAGATGTGTTTTATGATTTATGTTAAAAAGCCAATTTTATCAAATGTGTAACAGTTTTTTTCCTGGGACTGGTTGATGCTAATCCTTGAAACTCTTGATCAGACTTAATGTAAACTTAAATTAGAAGTGATTCAAAGTGGCTTCGTATTTCCTTATATGAATTTTTTTTAAAAACAAAACTATGTAAATGCCTACACATATATTTCACATCTCATTTTCAGAATGTTCCTTTCTATTAGTGTATATCGTATTTTGAGTGACTGAAATATTTCAAAGATCAATTCATTCGTTGGAAACGGCTGTGTTCTTCAAAATTAGTTTAACCTTCAGACACAAATGCATCGAAAATTGAAAAGGTTCCAAAAAGACGATTTTGAAAAAGTAGAACAATCACATTGCAAGTAGTACTTGAAACTTCAAACAGGAAATCAAATAGAGTGATAATTATTATGTTCTCGCCATAGTTCCTCGTTCCACTTTCTGTAATTATAGTTTGGCACAGCCACTAGAATTAAAATGTAGGATGCCACGGTACTGAGGAAATAAAACCAAAACAGGACCCTGTCAATCACAGATGCAATCTGCTGCCATTCGGCCACAATTAATTTTCTTTGAAACAACGAAGAAAAGGTTCGACATACTTCCGGTGTCTTTGACCTTGATGTCATTTTTTGCGGTTTGTCTTTGGTTGTATTATTATTGTCTCTAGGCTCTTCCAAATCAGAATTTCCACAGTCTTTCTGTGATCTATTTGTATCTTCAGGAATTTCATTCAGCGGTTGCATTTCTTCCTCATTTTCATTATCTCGTGCTGTTGGCGAAGCTTCTTCCGCCTTGCTAACTTTTCTTCTATTCCGAATGAATTGATTTTCCAGAGACAGAGTTTCTAATTCCTGGTATAACAGATCATCCTTTTGCTTGGTTGAAAATGAATGTTTCTTGCAGACATAGGCGCCTTTTTTCTCATCTTCCTTTTGAGAAAAGAAATTGAAAATACTTATTAACTCTTCTTATGACTTCAAGGAATTCAGTCTTAATTTATGGTTTCACATTTTGGATGATTGAAATTGCTATACTTACTAAAATTACGTCTTTTGCAAACTTGATTAAGTCATGCTTGAGAAACATGATCTTGGACAGCCACACGAGAGATATGAGTCTCAGCCATGCAGGTGCCCTCTTTGTCTTATGTCCTCTGTTGTAGAGGTTTATTACGATGACAGCCATTATAACAGACAATGACGTCATCGTCATCACCACACAAAGATATATACCTAAAAATATGATATCTTTTAATACTTTTTGAAACTTTGTTTTGGAAAAATGGTAAAGCTTTTTTTTACTGTATATTTTCTCGAAGAAAATAGATACATATAAGAATATTGGCAGTTTTCTTGTTACCTATCAATGGGACGGATTCTGAAGTTGCTGGGACTTCTTCAGCTATCAGTAGCATAAACATGGAAAATGCCAGGAAAACCGACAGCCCGAGGGTTATCTTTTCCCCTGAAGTAGGCGGAAGCCAAAACGTTAACAATGTCAAGGCAGATAGCATGACACAAGGAACAATGATGTTAAAAATATAATAAAAAGTTTTCCGTCGGATATGAAGAACATATGTGATGTCTGGATGTGGATCCTCACAACAGGAGTGTGTTCGAATATTTTTCTTCAATGTTACTGATAATAGATCCCATTCACTGTTGTTGACGTAAGCAGTGAGATCTACTGGAGACTCCGTGTCATTGTGAAGTGAATGGTAGTCTATCCATGAACCACTGTATATCCAGGAACCAAACCTTCAATTCAATGTCACAGTTGTAAGAAAACGATATAATTCAATTCACTTCAATTGTTCTAAAATCAAGTCACGTGCAATGATCTAGATCATTTGTATGAAAATATCTTTGAAAAATGTTTCTGGAAAATATATCTTAGACTAGTAATTGTTAAAATTGGGGGGTTATTGGCGTTTGTCGATCTGAAAGTCAATGAATGGGATTCTTTTTTCCAGACCTGATTTACCTTAAAATACATTCCTGATCATCGAACGGAAAATAGGTAATATCCACTTTGCAAGAGCTTTTTAACTTAACAGGAACTGGCCACACCACAATGCCGTCATAATTAAGTAGGACATATGTTCCCTGCATGAAACCTGTAGATCCATCATCAGCGCTACAACACGCAAATTTAAAACATTTGTCCCAAGTTTGTTTTCTGTTATTGAAAGTACATAGCTGTGTTTTCTACCTTAGTTTTGTTTTTATATTCTGATTTACTTTAGAACCCTTGGAGAACATACATTTTCTTTTTGAAGAAGTCGAATATTTTTCTATATCACCTGCATTGTATTCTTATCCTTACTATATCATACTGAGAAAATAGATGGTAGAGTTTGTGAGCACTTATCTCTTTTTCCTTGTTTAATTCTTTGTTATGGTTGCAGTTAAAATAATTATTCTGGTATTGTTTTTGGTCATATGCCTCTCTAGTGTCTTATATACTTTTCATTTTCAGAGTGAGTAAACAAATGTGAGCACGCACTTGATTCATGATTCATAAAAGCTTAGTATTAGGGACGAGGAAGAAAAGTTACTTGTTGTATATGAAGGTATCTGGAAGCCATACTCGTTTTGACGGAACACGAATAGATCGGATCTGGCTGTAATTGGCGGGATCCCAACTCAAATTTTCATCTCTCCAAGCCTGAAAAATGTAGATAAATATAAAAATATTATATTTGTAGTAAAACACGTTCTAGGTGAACAGGTGTGATAGAAATCCATTCGATAACCCCCATATAAAAGTTAATGGTGTTCAAATTGATCTTATCTGATTCAATTTGGAATTCCTCAAAACAAATTGGCTATCTTTACTGTTAGCCAAAATGCAACGACTGCGTATCCTTATAAATGTACGCACGTAATTATCGATAAAATGAGATTGCTTTAGTTTTGTTTAGCGCTGTATACAACAGTACAAGTATATCACTTTAGAATTTTTGCTTCCTGTTGCGTTTTCTGAACGATGTTTCCCTTCTGTGCACTCGAATCTCTCAAAAAAAGCATTGATAAACGATATGTACTCCTGTAACCTGGCAAATTCTCAATGCTTGATCTTTATTTAGCTACAATTTCTAAAATAATTCAGTTCAATCTTATTTTAAAATTCAAACATTAAGTTTTAGTGTATACGCTTTAATATTTTTAGAGATCATATGTGTCACTTTTTGTAATATGGTGGTGAGTATACATAATATTGTTAACTCGATTGGTAAGAATTCGAAAGTCAATCAGCATTTGTTAGTAGAAAAGTTTGGAACTATAAAAATATGTGCCCTTTTGACTGCTTGAAAGGTCTCAAATGCAAATCAAACAACACAAACGTTTCGGCCAAATGATCCTTTTTGGAGAACTCAAATATCGTTTTAACATTTTGAATGTATTTTCCTTTTATAATTAATACTAGTTTCAACTTTGATAATTATTGAACCTAAATAAAACATTTTCTAGGATTTTTTTTCTTTTAACCAAAAGTGCGGAATACTTCTGTGTCTAGACGGAAGTCTTCCTTATTGTTATAAATTATTAATTAAGATAACGGTGAAGGATGTGAAAAAAGGAAAGAATTTAAGATAATTTTGGGACATCAAAATAGAAAAAGTGGTTTTTATGTTAGGTACACGTTGAGTCTCTATCAAACTTGGTTGTTGTCTTCTTTAACATGAAATATTAAGTAAATTATGGAGATATAAAAAAGAATTTTTTTTTAAAAATCTAAATGGCGTGTATTTGATAAAATAAAAGCCTAAAGATACATGTATCTATAAAAAATGTCGTATTGTGAAAGTGAAATATACTGTAAACGTACATAAATTAGTGCACTCAAAATTAAGCGTATTGTTCTGTTTTGTCTGATTAGGGCAATCATAAATTAGCGAATGACACGTATTAAATTAGTTCTAATCATGCATTAGTGTGTGCAGACAAGAAGTAGCGAGAAAGGTGCTTAAGAATACATAATACAAACAAAAATCTGATGCCTGGATTGATATATATTTTTTGACTGATTTTGAATAGAAATGACATAAATTATAATAAATCCCTAAAATATAGAGAAATCGTAAGTTTTCTTTGGTGCTAAAATATGCCACTTTGTTTTGGTTTCTGTATAATTCTATACAAAATTTTGCATGTAATTTTAACATTGTGACAAAATCTTACAAAATTCCCCCACTTTACACGGTAAACATTCAGGTTACCTATTTGAATATAAATCTATGAAAAATATTGCTGGTTTCTGAAAAAAAGTTTGTTTCTGTTAGTTAACCTTAAATACTATTACCGCTTAAATAAGCACGTTTACAGTAGAGAATATTTAAAATAAAGAATTCATTTAGCAATTTTGTCGATGTCACTTCTTTCATGATTGGGGTACTCCAAATATTAAAAAAATAAACAATTATTACTCCTAACCAAAATAGTAGCTGCTGTGAAGGATAAACTTCAGATGTATTGTGTAACTACATATTCAGGAAGTGGTGTAATAAAATACATGTATATAGAGATAACCAACAATATTCAAGCTCAAAAGTCCATTCAAACAATACAGATCAGAAGCAGAGCAAATACGGACCTCTAAAACATCAGAGGTGGGATCAGGTGCCATGGAGGAGTGAGCATCCCCTGCCGACCGGTCAAATCCGCCGTGTGCTCTTGTCATGATCGGGTAATAACGGGAAATCCGTCGACAATTCAGTGGGTAAATAATAAGTATGAGAAACGTCGTTCAGCATTTGACTTAATGATAGATTGTATTTGCTGACAAGGTCATTGTATCGATCATAGAACGTACGAAATAATGACTTTAAACGAGACTGTTGATATTCTTGTTTCATCAACTTGTTTGTCAATAACTTACCTCGTTTTAGAAATTGTTCATACGTAGATTATGCTCTTGCGTATCGAACCAACTGTGAAATATAAACCCCAAATGCAGGTGAAGAGGGTACATGTATATTGCTGCATAAGTAAGAGGAGTTGACGATTGAAAAGTTAAAGACATCACGTTCATCATAAAGCTTTGTTGTTAGATTACCATTAACGTCTTTTTCTAGTAAAATATCCAAATATGAAACAGATGTGTCAGACTCTGTGGTATCTTTTATTTCAAGCTCACTGGGATATATCGTGTCGACATATGAATGGAAATAATAATTGTTAATTGATAATCCGTCTTCTATAAATCTATAAAATGTCGAGTTGAAAGCCACAGCAAGAGTCTTCTTTTTCTCATAAATACGATTTTGAATTAATTCTGCTTCATATGAATACAAATTTAGGTCTGCTAATAAGGGGGCGCAATTGGTACCCATGGGAATTCCAACAGATTGTTGGAAGACTTAGTCTCCAAAAACTACATAGATATTGTCAATCAGAAACTCACGCATCTTTTAATATCAACTTCAGAGTACGTGTGTGTACAATAAATGTTTTTTTAACAAAAACATTTTGCAAATGACCAAGGACATAGTAAGTAAATTTACGAGTTCCATTTTTATTGAAGATTTGTGTGTTTCTCATCGATAATTTCATCATATTAATATAATGTATATTAACTTGAAATTCGTCTGCTTTTAATTATTCTTAAATATGAAGAATCAGGAACCACTGTTAACACAAGGGGCTACGATTAGATACCTTCATTCATTAAGAAGACGCCCTGCACCAAGTGTCTCATGAAAATATAAATGTTAAAAATTTCTCTACCGAATCACGTGTTTTTTTATTTAAATATAATATTTTTAATGCTTTGAACTTTTATTCTTGCTAAATAGCCCTCCTTGTAACCACAGAAATAATAATACCTTATTTTAGTGTAAAATCTGGTTGTTTACATAACATACACGTTACTGGTTAAAGGATTCTTTCAGTACACAAGAAGAAGAAAGCAATTTCAGCGAACATTATCATGCAAATGATCATCAGTTAAATTTGTTATGTATCTTCTGGGGACCGGGGGGATAGCCCCCGTGCCCCCTCACACAACAATTTTGCCGATATATAGTAAACTATACTACAGAAAACATAGCTACTTAATGCTTGGGCTCCCTCAGTGATATGGTTTTATGACCTTTCGTTTTTGCCTGTCAATGAATTTTTGCTGTGTAGCGACCCCTAAGTTGTCCCCCCGTATCGCCTTAAACAAACAAGCAAACAAACAAAAAATACTTTTAAAAAATTAAAATGACAAGGCCTTAATGGTAAATAGGATATTTTTGTACCGAATGTATTTTTACGTCCAGCAGTTCACTGGTCCTGTATATAGTTATTCTAGCTTAATTGTACGGACTGTTCTTCAAAGAGGTCAAATATTTTTTGCCACTGTACAAAACCAATACTGTGCTCCTCCTGAATTTTCATTTGATTTGATTCGCAGAAGAAACACTAAACACTCTAAATCTTATCTTTAAAAAAAAAAAAAACATGCTGTATGCTATGCATAGTACGCAAGATACAAATAATCTCGAGGCAATTGTGGCGTAATAACTGTCGAAACTTTCGAGATGAATCAAGTGTGCGTGTGCGAAACTAAGTGATTATTTTATCTGTTAATAGATCAGATTAAGCCAGCAACTGAGCTTCCCGATCATTTCTTTCTTCGAGTGCTAAGCCTTTTGAACATATTGGAACAGTATGATTTCTGACCTCGGAAGAGAGCATATTTTTCAATGTTCAAGGCCCGTGAAAATAATGGTAAAATTATTACCTGGTCAATGAAGACATTTGTTGTGAGAACTTGGTGACGCTCATCCTGTAATTTAAATGATCTATATAATTATGCTTTCCACAAATAAACATGCTCTTCAATCTCTCGTTATAATAGCTGCAGAACTGTAGCTCTTATGGTTTTAAATTTTAGTCTTTGACCATAACTACGGTCAAAGATTAAAATATAAAACCATAACGCTACAGTTCTGCAACTGTCGTCATAATAGATGTATATAAAATTTTATCATATAAATGAAATCAAAGATTTGAAACAATTGTTTTCATCATTAGTTCGAGACTTCAAATAATATGTTCATAACAATAAAAATACATACCAGATCGATGATTTGGTTAAGTTTTAAGCTGAATGTGACACTAAGTATTTTGGTGGCGTTAATCACTGGTCGTACACTCTTCTCATACCCGAACATTAAATCCTCAAACAGACGCTGTTCATCAGGCACCAGAACGGATGAAGCTCCTTGAAATAATAAACATGGTCAATAAATGATGATAGATCATATAGCTTCTATTATTCAATACAAGATATGAACTAAACTTACGAAATAAATAAATAAAAACTATATATATATATATATATATATATATATATATATATATATATATATATATATATATATATATATATATATATATGGATTAATCATATAAGTTACAGGGATATCATGCATAATATCATTGTGAAACATCAATCCCCAGAACTCAAAATTTCTATAAGAAAATGTTTTCGTAAACAACCCAGATGAAAAGGGGATACACAACTTGAATGATAAACAATGTAACAAACAGAAAGGTGGAACCCTGCTGAGAAACAGGTTAATGCACTGTTATCAAGACGGATTAGGATAAATATTTCCCATCATTTCCCATCATTTAAGAGAGGAAACTGACGGAGATCTACAGAACCTTTTCTCCAGTTATTTTTCTATCAAAATCTTCCTACTGAAAATTCACTGAATTTATTTTTCATATGCACAAAATAATCCTACCTTCAAGCATAACAAATGAAGAGAATAACATCAGCATTGTTCGGGAAACCATGTCTCTCAGTTTCTGAAAGAAAATTCTTATGATTAATCTTCACTCAACAAAGTTCAGGGGCATTGAAATTAGAAAGAATTTTCTTGTAATCTCCAAGGAAACACTTTTGAATTTTAGAGCTTTCAGCTTGTAATTCTGTAGATGAAACTTTATGCGAAAACAAAAGCTTTTCCAATTTCACATTTCAATAGATTGTTACTATGCAATATACATATATGTAGATACAGATGCTGGTATGCATTATTGTAAATTTTGAATCTTTTTGGATACTACAGAGCAATAATTCAATTTTCACACTATAACAGAAGAATCAAGTGTGTTCCTCTCTTTACCTAATTTTTGTGTTTTCAGGCGACAGACTGAAGATGACGAAGATTTAACCAACTTGACCTTGCTAATATGTAAAATAGTTCCATGTAACTCTTTGATTGGTAAGATTTTCTTTTGCAAGGGATCATTCAATAAAACAAAATAAAGATGGAAATACATCTAACCTTCAAATCAATCTAACATAGCTCATCCTCAACACTAGGATGATAAAGCAAACATACCGATACATGTACGTGTAGTTACGATCGCAAGTAGGTATCAATGAAGCAGACAAAAAACAAATCGTGATATATTTTCTTTCACACATGTACCACACATATATCCCCCCCCCCCCCCCAGTATCTTCTTTATCAACTTGCTTAAGTTAAATGCAACTTCTAATAAAATAAACTGCATGACTTTTCAATAAGAAATTTTCAAACATCATTTTGTGAGAATATTTTTTTCTCTAGAAATGTTTAAGTTACTGCCGTAAATACTTACAAAATAAAAGGTAAAAAGCACCTTGTTTCTTTAATCTTTCAGCTTCCTTTTTTCCTTTTCATCAATTCTTATATTCCTTGACGTGGACACTAGCTTAGTCTGTTCTCGATGTTCAATATATAATGTTTTTGAACATGGACGATGGTAACAAGAGAAATAAAACACAATTCATTCATGTACATATGGTTTCGCTCGTACTGTTACTTTGTTGGCGAAATGGAAAACGATTCCAACTAATCCAGCAAGAACCAAAACCTCAGTATTGAAGAGATAAGCTCCTTTGTAAATGATATACGCAAGGTTTATAACGAAAGCCAGTGATTTTGTAGAGCCGGATTCGACACAGGTATTATTTTCAGGGGGAGGAGGGATGAAATGTTTTAAACATTCTTTCTAGCAGATAATCGATGCTCTGACAGCTCCTAACGATGCTCGGCTAAAAGAAGGGGTTTAGTATTGATCTTAGGGGATGTCAGCTTTTGCTCTTCTCTTTCCTTTATTAGCTCCACTTCATCGTCATTTAATGCAGTCTTTTAGGTGTCTCATTATACACTTGAACATCTCTATTAACCAAATACTCAGGAATAGTTCTAACCGAATGTAAAACCTTCTTGAAACTTGTATACCAAGTGATTATTTGACAGTAAATTATTTTTGAACAAAAAAGAGGTTAAGGCACACTATTTCAGGAAAATGAAAATATCTAAAGCACATAGAAACTTAGTCCTTACCGTGTTTGATTTTCAGTAAGATCTACATATGTAACAAAACGCTTCATGTAACGAAGTCAACAAGATTTGTTCTATTATTATGAAGCTCACTCTGCGAACATTGTACTCCTGGCGATCGATTCTTTTGTAGGAAGGAGGAACAATGAATCCCATTTTTAATGACAGTGGTTCCATGTCTGTTACAACTTCTGTACCAATAAATTAGCATCAGAACTGATCTGTATTCACAATTATATCAAATAAAAAGTTTTACAATAATGTCAACAGCAAAACGGCTTTCTTACGATCTTCTGCACATTTATTGTGTTCTTAGATTATTGTATAACGTACATACATATTTGATATATTCGACTGGGGAGTCCATAAACTTTTTGTGTCAGATTCTACTCATTGATTGCAGAGAGTTTTTTTTGTAGATAATAAACATTGATATGTTTGCTGACATACGATCTCAAATTTTGTCTTAAGGAGGCCCGATCTAGTTGAAAATTAAGAAAAAGGACCAAAAGATTTTTTTTTTCAATTTTAGATATATACTAGATGAAATCCTACGCAAGCGCGGGGAATTGATTTTTTTTTACTGCTGACTGATCAATTCGAATAATATGCATGTATCTTATACTTTCTACTGGCAGTTAATTATAGGTTTATAGCAGGAAGAAATACTTTGTACAAAATTCCACAATAACTTTAGGAACAGAAAAGGGTATGATATACACCCCCTTCTTTTTTTATCTTTAAAAATATCAATTTCATTAATTGCCAATTTCTATTTTCATGTATCATCTTTATATTTTGATACCTGTTATACTGTTTTTATATTATTAAAATTGAACTTCGAGTGCTCTGTTTCCCTTCCATCACAGATAAAAAAAAGGATACATCATCTACATGTACATGTATGTTAAAAACATCTTGAAATGTATTGATTTAAGCACGAATTTATTTTTAACAGCTTTAGTAAATTGAGAAAACTTAGAATAAATCACTTTTACTTCATATTTTTTAAACACTACCATATTTAGACACTACCATAGTTGCTATTATGCTGTGGCGAATATGCAAATTCTAATGCTAGATTTATGAGCACCACTTACTAAAAGCTCTTCGGTATATAAACATTTTAAGGACTCATAGTATCACTCAAAGTGATATCAATTGCTTTATTATTATTTCCCTGCCCATTCACATCATTTTATGCTTTTAAATATCGGGTTCGATGCCATCTGATGTTCTAGAAATTTCTATCAAGACTCAGATCGATATTAACTGAAACGATTTGCACATTTTATTATTTAATCAGTAGTCAAAACTTATTTCTTCTATATAACGTAAATCAAATTTTAATTGAATAATCCATTGATAACGTTTTATCAAAAAAAAAATAAACAGTTGCTTGTTGTCATTTTCATTGAAAATTGTTACTAACTTGGATCCGCCAACCGAAAACACCACCTTACTCCCTTATTTGGCTGTTTATCGAAAATGAAAGTAGACTTATAATTTAATCTTCGATAATTACTATGCAAGTGAAATCTCAATATATTTTACGACATCATTTCCTAGTGTAATATTAGAGGAGTTAGTCTGAACTCTGGTGCAGGCGATTGGGAGTTTATTTACAAAATTTATTAATTTATAAATATAGATATTTGGTTTCATCATCCTTTAAAAAAGTAAAATGAAAATTTTATGATATAATCTTAATTATAATGAAATATGGATCATTTTAAAATACTGACTATTTATCACGGATTTACAAACAATTATGTAGTAAAACTACCTTTATATAACAAAAGAATTGACAAATTAAAAAAAAATAAGGTTTTCCTTTTGATGCATTAGCTATCCCTCATTTAGAAAAATGAAAAGAAATTGGAGGTATCCTTTATCATAGTGAAAAGAAGACATATCAAATAAATATGACTACAAAGTTATCTAAGATATTTTCAAGTCACTATAAGTTTACTTAATATCCACAAATAATTGTTGTACTGTGTTTGACAGTGTATGTTTCTAACATTATGAAGGACTTTTCCTACCATTTTTCAATTTGTTTAGCCCAATAAGTTGATCAACATAAGGAAGGTGTGTGTATTAGGGGAGGGGGGTAATATAACGACGACTTCGTTATTCTGTATGCATGTAGGAAAATACAGTTCAAGCTTCTGTATGCATGAAGAAGTTATCAATAAGTAAGCTATTTTTTTCAACGGAAAAATACAACAGGGGTTTCCTTTTCGATGCAGTCGTTTTTCAAACTCCCCAGTTTAAATAATAATATACCAAACAGTGTATAATATGTGTACATTAAAAGTGTTAAATTTCTACATGGGAACTGGCAATATTAATATAAAAAGATACATAACTAAGTAAATGTTAAATAGTCATTTATGTTTGTTTGTTTGTTTGTTTTTTTAAAAATCATTCATTAAATTGAAATAAAATGCCATTATGATCTTTCAACATGAACAATTCAGACATATGCATTTTAACGTAATTTGACGCCATTTAAACTGTTACGATTCTGTCGAAGATTATGCCAGACTATGAGTCAAATATGAAAGTGAAGTTCTTGACACTTTGTCAGAATTGATTAAAAGTATAAAATTGGTTTTGAAATATCGTGTTAAACGCTTAATTAAAAACCATATATCCTTCTGTCTTCAATGATTCAGAAGTAAAAATTAGATGTATTAAGGAGGGATTCTTGTCTGGTTTCTGACTAGATGAAATATTCAAAGTATATTTGCTTATATGTTTGATATGTTTAGATGTAAGAGATTTAAAAGATAATATTTTTTCTTTCCTCATCACAATTGTACAAATTTAAATAGAAATGGTAAACTGAGTTTGAAATCTAGCAGGGACTACATTTTTGGCGGAATGGCGGTGTATGAAAATATCTTCTTTTCTGCCTCTCAAAATAATTATAGAACAATTAATTTAGCTATGGTTTTTACACAATCAAAGACTTGGATAATTTTTTAAATGCAAGTTAAATCAATAATAAGGGACTAAAGTTTTAAAATATATCAAATAAAAATGATTTTCCAAACAAACTACAATTATGTTTGCTTTTAAAAGCTTCTAATCTAAGTTCAGATTTGAGCCAAAAATCCGTAAAAAGGTGTTTTTTCTCTCTTAGTAAACGATCAAAACTTTCTGTTTTTAAATCATGTTGTATCTTTATGTGACAACTTTACCGTATGTGAAAATAAGAAAAATTTAAATATAGGAAGCATATAAAAATAACTAAAATATCTTAAAATTTTAGGAAAAATAGAGAAAATTCGGATTAGCCAATATCCATTTTAGTTAAATTATTTATGTCAATTTGGTAATCTCATCTTAAAGACCCTATATGGTAATATCTCTTTATGCAAGAAGAAAAGCATTTAATTTATTGAAATAGTAGGCTTGGCATAATTGACAACAGTAATTTTTTATTCTTAATGTCCAGGGAAAAGGTACCTTGACCTTGCCTCTAATATAAAACGGTCAAATCTAATCTAACTGATACGATCTCTTTGTGATATTGTCTTCTTGATTCTGTGAAAATTTCATTGATTTTCGAATGTAAGAAATAAGGGTTCTTATGAGAATATGTACTGGTTCCAGCTGAAAAAGCAGGTAACAACATAGTTTTTGTTCATAAGGCTCATTATTACAATTGTTGGGTTTAATTCTTGGTAATCCAACTTATATTTTTAGTTCCTTTTCTAAGGAGGATTTTTTTTCGGACTCATACGTCAGTTTTAAATATTATTAATATACCCAACAACAAAATTGAATTTTAATTACCATATCTGTACTGAATTCTTAAACTTCATAAAAGTCCTTACAAACAAAGATACATACATGTAGCGGGTTCTAGTAAATATTCTACCAAGTTTCTTTATTTACCCCTCACGAAAATATTAACGGCAGTGCAGGAGAAACTTAAGGAGTACTGTAAACAACCTATACGAGTAGTGGTATTAATCAGATGTGGATACTTAAAAACGCCGAGGAACTTTTAGAAAATTTGAAAATTTTACGCCAAAATCAATAGCATCAAAACGTACGACTTTTCAACTCTTTATAAGCTAATTCCCACGATAAATTAAAGACCACGCTTTCTGATACATACACAGCTGTTTCTTCAATGAAGTGGAACTCGTATTTGGATACCTTAATCATCTCACTGGTCATCATGCAGCAAACTTATTTTGTTAAAAACATTGATTCTACACAAAAGTACTCCGAGGTCGATATTAAAAAGATGTTTGAGTTTCTCATTGACAACCTCTACATGTATGTGATTTTCGGAGACCAGGCCTTCCAACAATATGTTGGAATATCCATAAGTACTCATTGTGCTCCGTTATTAGCAGACTTGATTTTGTAATTATGAAGCAGAATTTATTCGAAAACTCCTACATGAAAAGAAGTCTCTTATGGCCAATTCCACATTTAGAGATATCACCGACGTTTCACCAATTAACAAGTTTTATTTCAGTTTCATTCTTCCTACGTTGATTCGATATTAACAATATTTATTTTCATTCCTACGTTGATTCGATATATTCCTTTGAACTCGATATAATTGACACCGCAGAGTCTGACACGCCTGTTTCAGATCTGGATGTTTAATTAGAGAAAGATACTGATAGCAAACTGAAAACTAAAATGTATTTTAGAGATGACTCCAACTTTTCTATCGTTAACATCACTCATTTATGTAGCAATATACCATTATCATCTGCATA